TGAGATATAGGCTGACCATAAATAATCTCAAAGGGAGTTTTACCAGTGGAGCGATTAACAGAATTATTATATGCAAACTCAGCTTGGGGCAATATTAAATTCCATCGGGATAGTTTCTCACCAGCAAGGCATCTCAGTTAATTTCCTAAGCTTTGATTGACAACTTTAGTTTGTCCATCAGTTTGTGGATATTATGCACTACTAAATTGAAGAGTAGTTCCTAATTTTGTCCAGAGTGTTCTCCAAAAGTGACTCAATAATCTAGTATCCCTATCAGACGTGAATGCTCGAGGAATGCCATGGAGACGAAAAATTTCTTTAAAAAATAAATCAGTAAATATATGAAGCATCAGAAGTTTTCTTGTATGGAATAAAGTGTGCCATTTTACTAAATCGGTCCACAACAACAAAGGCAAAATCATATTTTCTTGCAGTAACAGGCAACCCTAAAACAAAATCCATAGAGATGTCTTTCCATGGTTTATTTGGAATTGGAAGAGGGATATATAAATTAATGTTTTGAGAAGTTCCCTTGAAAGCTTGACATATTTTACATTGTTTTACCAGCTTAGCAATTTGCTTTCTCATAAGAGGCAAGAAATATTTTTCTTTCACTAAGGCAACAGTTTTTCCTTGACCAAAATGTCCTCCCAAACCCCCACTATGAATCTTGCACAAGGTGTTCTCTTAAAGAATTTTTTGTAATGCAAAGTCTAGAACCTTTAAACAAAAAACCTTGTTGTATGACAAATTAAGCATAATTATCAGTTATAGAAGTAAGATAAGATTCCTAAATACTCTTAAAATCAGGATCATTCGCATAGGTGTCTTTTAAAAAATTGAAAGAAGTTATGGTTGGATAAACAGTTACCAACTGATGAGACCTACTTAAAGCGTCAACCACTTTGTTTAGCACCCCAGTTTAATGCTTAATGTGAAAAGAGTATTCTTGCAAAACAGAGACCCATTTGACATGCTTTTTGTTCAGATTTTTTTGAGGGCCCAAAAATCGCAAAGTTTCGTGGTCAGTGTTTAAAACAAATTCTCTTTGAATTAAATAACATCTCCAGAATTTCAAAGCTTGAACAATCGCTTAAAATTCCAAATCATAAGTAGAATACTTAGATCGAACATCATTTAACTTTTCACAAAAGTATGCAATAGGTTTTCCTTCCATGCTAAGCACAACACCAATACCAATATGAGAGGCATCACAATCAACATTAATTTTTTTTAAAAAAATTGGCAGGTTAAGGATGGGTGCTTGACTCATTTTTGTCTTAATTATTTCAAATATTTGTTCAGCTTGAGGTTTCCACCTAAAGTCTCTTTTTTTCAAATAATTAGTGATAGGGGAAATTAGTGAACTGAAGTTTTTAATAAACCTTCGATAGAAAGAAGCTAAGGCATGAAACCCTCTCACCTCTCTAATATTTTTAGAAGTAAACCAGTTTTGAATTGCCTCAATTTTTACAGGATCAACCTTTATTTCTTTCGCAGACACAATATATCCCAAAAATGTTAAACTTGAAGTCATGAAAGAATATTTTTTAAGATTGATATACAACTTGTGCTCTCTTAGCATTTGCAGAATTTGTTTCACATGATTAAGATGCTCATAAGGGTGAATGCTATAAATCAGAATATCATCGAAATATACCACAACAAACTTTCCAATAAAAGGTCTTAAAACATGATTAATTGTTCTCATAAAAGTGCTAGGAGCATTAGAAAGCCCAATAGTCATAACAATCCATTTGTACAATCCTTCCTTGATTTTAAAAGCAGTTTTCCATTCATCTCCCGGTCTTATCCTAATCTGGTGATACCCGCTTCTCAATTCAATTTTGGAAAAGATTTTGGCACCACTTAACTTATCCAACATGTCATCCAGGCTAGGAATTGGAAATCTATACTTAATGGTGATTTTATTAATAGCCCGACTATGCACACATATCCTTCATGTTCTATCTTTTTTAGGTGTAAGTAAAGTAGGCACAACACAGGGACTTAAGCTTTTCTTAATCAAACCTTTTTTTAACAGTTCAGTCACTTGCTTAAAAAGTTTATCATGTTCAGTTGGACTTATTCTGCAATGGGGAAGATTATGCAATGCGACTCCATGTATTAAATCAATTTGGTGTTGAATGCCTCACATCGGTGGCAAATCTATTGCAACTCTTCAGGTGTTATATCAGAAAACTCATTAATTAAATATTGAATTTCTTTAGGAATTTGAGACGTTGAATCAGTTTCTTTTCCTAGCACCAGGATAGCTACCTCAGATTATTTTAACTCATTTGTGTTAAGAAGCAGTTCAGGGGCGTTTGTTTTTGCAACTTTAGTATTTTTGGCAGGCGGGTTAGGCACATATTTTTGAGGACAAAGAGTGAATTTTTATTATTTTGAATCAAAGTGTAGGTTTTCTTTTCCCCGTTATGAATGGTTTTGTGATCGAATTGCCAAGGACGACCCAATAAGATGTGACAAATTTCAAGAGGTACAACATCCCAAACCACTTGATCTTTGTAAGAACTTTCAATTGTTAAGTTAACAGTGCGTTGTTTTGTTATTGGAACCTCACTCCCTTTCGTGAACCAAGAGATTTTATAAGGTTTGACAAGTGGTTTTGATTTCAATTTGAGCTTATCAACTATTATTTGTGAAAAGAAATTACCCGAACTCCCGCTATCGATCATAAGAGTGCAAATTTTTCCCTCAACTGTGCAAGTGGTTTTAAAAATATTTCTTTTAAGCCACCTATCCCCATTCTGCATTTTAGTTGTTAAAACTTGTTGGATTACTAAAAGTTGTTCACCTTCATCGCCCTCTGTATCAACTTTCTCCAATTCGATATTATTTTTAGGTTCAGATTCATTTTCTTCCTCTTATTCTATTTCTTCATCATTTTTAATGTAATTATTCCTTAGTGGGTTGTTTTTTCTACAAGCCGCAGAGAGATGACCATAAAGTCTTTAACTCAGTAGTAGCCCAATGAACCTATTGATGTTGATAAGGATGATTGAGATGACTTTATTGTTTATTTTTAGTGACCTGTAATGTTAAATTTGATATTTTGGATTTAGTAGTTTAATTTGCTATGTTATGTTAAATGTTTTGGGGTTGATCAGATTTTTTTTATTATGATATTTCAGATGTTTAATTTGTTCTGTTCCAATGTTGACGTTTATGTTAATTAAAATAGAAGATGTTGGTTGATTTGTAACTAGAAGTTGTATGTAAATTTCAAGGACGAAATTTTTTATTATGAGGGAAGAATTGTAAAACCCGAAAAATGTCGTTTTAGATCTCACACGTTTTTTGATGCATTGCGACAAGATTTAAGTGAATTTTTCAAAGTTGTCGGATTTCGACAAAAGTAATTTTATAAAATTCTAGGCAAAATTCTAAGAAATTCGATATATAAAATTTATATTTAATTTTGCTTAATTTTGAATTTAAAATTAAGAGAAATCTTATAATACCCATAATACCCTTAGAGATTATTAAAGCATGGATTGTTTAAGTGAGGGTAGAATAGTTTTTTGGCCATGTAAGGGAATTAAAGGGACCGAATACATTCGGTCTCTTATTCAATCGTGCACCAAACCGAGCGGAACCAAAGGAGAAGAGGCGCGCGGAAGGGAGCGGCAGGAGGTTTCGACGCCAGTGGTAGGGCAATTTTCCGCGAGATTCTTGGAAGGAAATTGTAGGGAACACTAAGTGAAGGCTAAGGTGAGTTCTTATGAACAATTTCTAATATTTTTCTTAGAATTTTCTCAAGAAAAGATTTCTAGGGTTTAAGAAAAACTTTGAATCTCTTTAAGAAATTAAATAGGGGATTGTTAGGGAATGATTATGAGATAATTTTATGCATGGTCACCAAGAATGTGGAGTTGGAAAAATTAGGGTTTTTCTCTAAAGTCGGAAATTTTGGAAGTACTTTTGCAAATGTGGTTCCTAAGGGTCCTAAGAGGGTTTTTAAGAAAAGAAATTGAGTTTTTCTCACAAAATGGTATTTTTCTATTTTCTAATTATTTTAAATCCGAAAATAGAAATTATTTTAAATTAATTTAGGATTATGGTAAAGGGTTAATTTGGTTAACATATATAATTACACAAAATTATGAATTTTTAGAATATATGTATGCTCTATGTTTTAAATTAGAGAGATGGAGATGGAAAAAGAGAACCTTTAAAAATGTTGGGAGTAGATTATAAAATAATAAAAATCATTGATATTGTTTTAGGATTGAGAACTTTAAGTTGAAGGTTTAAGATTTTATTAATATTATTTGAACAGTTGAAAATTTCTGATAATTAAGCTGAGACGAGTATTGGTATCTACAATGAAGCTTGAGGTTTGGAAAAATATTAAAGCTTGGAAACAATCAGGTGAGTAAACATGCTTTTTTATCATGGTAATTGCATCGTTTTAGTTTTTATTGAATTGTTATTGCAAATTGGTTTATTTTACTGCATTAATTGATTCCATTGTTTCATATTCTTGCATATTAATTTTTTCACCATATTACTGTATAAGATACATAATAATGCTTTATATTATTGAGATGATATGATTATGATTTGAATATTATATTGAATGTTTGTATGTGCATGCTGAATTGATGGAGCTCACCCCCTTATGATACTAGCTGGGGACGTTGTACTCGTGCATGTTAAAATGATAAATGATATGGAAAATGAAATGGTAGAGGAGTACCTTTATGGTACTAGACGGTGGCTCCTGTGACGATTGTAATATATATGAAATGAGAAAGTTATGAACAATGATATGAATACGAAAAATGAATTATGAAAGGATATGAATGTATGATTTATGTTTATGTTAATGACATATTTTTATGAAATCAATTTATGTTATATTTTAAATGAAATTGACATTTAGCATATTGTTCATTTTGCATTTATTACTGTAGTTTGGAATCAAGTTTTACTTACTGAGTTTTATCTTATTGTTAGTTGTTAATATTTTTCAGGTGTTATTACTTTAAATCAAAATGAGTAGAAGGGGTGGAAATGTTTACCGTAGAAGAGGAGCGCCTGAGGAAAGGTAATTTTATGAATATTAATGATTTTATGTTTATGTGTTTTCAAATTTGATGTTTTAGAGGTTCTTTCAAATGTTAAGGTGATAGTTTTAGGAATTAGATATTTTAATCTACCGTCTGACCTCCGTTCTCGCCTCGCCTACGCGAGCTCACCGGCCGGGTCGTACAATTTTAATAGGCCATGAGGAATATACATTACAGATTCATGTATTCTTTTTTTAAGCTTGTGTTCTTATTATAGATTTTAAATAATGTAAGAATAATAACTTTTGTTTGTTCCGTTACATTTTTTTTTTCAAAATATACAGTTTTTTTTAATATTCTAATCACAAATTATAGCAGATTGGATAAGATATGTGGTGAAGGATGTGCTACAATCTCGACGTCAATCTTGATCATATCTATGTGGGATGCCAAATATATTTGATAGGGAATACTGTACTCTCCCCCAAAAAATTACACAATCAAGCCACATAAACACTTGATGAAAACTCTTATGAAGTAAAATGGGTCAGATTTTCTCAAATTTGATTGATCAATCTATAAAACTTTGACGGAATAACTCATTTCATACAAGCAGTTGAGGTTGATAGATAAACACTTTTCTGATAGTTGGCTTCAAAAATCAAGATAACATTTCACGTCTGATCATATGGTGTCATCCCAATCTAATCAAATAATTGAAATTTTTAGTTTGATTAGTACTAATTAGGGTTTAATTTTGTTTAGAAATTGTATATTTTGAAAAAAAATGAAACTAGTTAGGTGCTTCCTCCTCGCTCATGCTCCGCCACTCTTCTACCTATCTCTTCCATTTTTTTTTCCTCCTCGTATATAACTAATTGATCTTATCTGAGGTATTTTATTTTCTATAGAGAGTCGTAGGTTGGTTCATAATATCTGGTAATTAATACTCCGGTGATCTTGAAAGTTATAAAAAATTGCGCTGCCAATCTTTTGATTTATTTCCCTGCTTGTCAGATCGAATGATTGAAGCATCTAAGGAGCTTTTTTTTTTAATTAAATGGGAGAAAGGGTTGATCATTTGATGTGTAAAATTGGCTGTGTTGGGATAATCATGTGGGAGATCAACACGAGAGGAATTTTAGTTTTTGGGATTGAGAAGATTTTGAGATAGATAAACATTTATGCTATGAAAAGAGTTCCCTACTTATATTATAAGATTTCTTAGGCGGCACTTCAAAATAATGTTTATTATGTATTTATTATACCATATATGTTGTTTGAATTGTTGATTGTGAAAGTATGGGAGTCCATGAAGGTAGCATTTATAGTTTTTAAACAATTAACTTTATTCCTATTGTTCATTCTTTTGATGTTAGGAAACCTTTAGATCTTTTCGGCTCTTTTGTTTTGGAAACTCCAATTTTATTGATGGGGTTTCATTGCAGAGGAGAAGTCTGTTTTTTTTTTATATCACAACTTGGTAGTTGCTAGTCATCCAAGAAGTCACAATCAAAGTAGATGTTCAAAGGTTGTTGAAAGTTGGCAGATGTGTGCTGACTTCACTAGGCTCAACAACAACTATTACAAATATACTTATTCTTTCCCTAAATTTTGTGCTATTTTAAATTATGTGATGGGCTTTATAGTGCTTAGTTATAAATTTTCTTTAGGTGATTAGCCATCTTTTCATGCAAAGCCACCCCATCTTCTCAACATCAACATCTTCTTTCCCAAGGCCAACCTACTCGTTGTTGCACTCTACTTCCTCTTCCGCTATCACGACCCGACGCGGATGCTTGACTTGACGAGGCGGGAACTCAAAGTCGGACGGTAGGATCAAATCATTTCAATTTATAAGCAATACAATATAAAATTTAATCCATTTAACTGAAGAGCAACTAACAAAATTTCTCAAATATTTAACATTTGTATAACTAATAAATTTCTTGTTTTCAATGTTACGTCGTCTTCTAGAGACATACTCTTCCATTTCTGCCATTTTTAAATCTCTGAAGACTTACCTGAAATATTGTTTAATGGAATGAGTTTACAAGATTCATTTATTTTGAAAGTCACTTTGACATATATCATTTACTTTCACAACATATCCAATTGACATCAAAACTTTCAAAATTTTATTATTTCATAAATATTTAATCCCATTGATTTAACAAATGCCTCTGAAATAAATGAGTGTGTAGCTCCTATATCAAAAAGAATCTGTACAAGCTTTTTTTGAATCGTTACCATACCTATAAAATTTACAAAAAATTAACATAAACATCATTCCTTTAGCAATGTTTTCATAGCACTCATTTATTTATTTTTTTATTATTATTACCTGTAATTACTTCAGGAGAATCTTTAGTATTCTTTTGAGTCAATGCATATACTCTAGGAATAGTATTCTGTCAGCCTTGATTTTAGTCATGGAGTAGAAGCAGTTGATTCTATCGTTCTTGGTCTTTCAACATTTCTCTGAGATCCAGTGTTTATCCTTGACTCTCCTGCTTGTTTCTGTCCCAAAGTAAGACAATTCTTGGCTATGTGACCTGATTGATGACACCAAAAACAAGTATTTGTACCATATAAATATTCTCATTTATGTTGCCTTCCACATTTGATGCAACTGTACACACTTGAACTGTCACTGCTACTAGACTTAGCCTTCTTCCAATTAAACTTCCCAGCTTGTGAAAGAGGTTTGCTATGTGAATCCTGTGAAGCTCCTATTACTTCACCACTTTTCCTCTTCTGAAAGTTACGTCTCCTTTGAGTGTTTTGTAAGTCCATTTCTACCCTCTTTAGCCCTTTCCACCAGCACTAAGTAATCATCAATTCCAAGTGGTACAAGTGGCTGTATAATTACATCCTTCAATCCAGATAAGAATTAGTGACACTGTTCCTCTGTAGTATGTATTAATTGAGGAACATATCTGGATAATATTGCACATTCAGCTTCCTATTGCATAACTGATTTATCTCCCTGCACCAATCTCATAAATTTATCATGCATCTGCCTCCTTGTATAAAGGGGCACGAACCAATCTTTGAACATATGTGTAAAATCATCCCACTTAATTTGCATATCAAAAAATCCTCCAGTTTTATTTTTATGCTGATCTTTACACTACGTTTATGCTTCTCCATCAGTGTAAAGGATGCTACATAAACTTTCCTTTTCTTTGGATAGAACATTCCCTCTAAAATCTTTTCAATCATTAGTAACCAAATTTTAGCTTCAATTAGTCTTTCAATTCTCTTAAATAATGGTGGCCTCATATCTTGAAACAGTTTAAGATATTTATCTATAGGCATTCCACCACCATTGCTACTTCCTGATTATTGATTCATTGAGGCGTGAATCAACTGAGTTATAGCTGTCATCATTTATGTCAGTGCATAAGGCTTAACATTAACATGAGGCACTGGCCTTTCCACTTCCTTTTCTCTTCTATAATCATTTTGGTTCCTGTTTTCAATAAGATATTCATTTTACGTTAAATCTTCAAATCATTAATAGTCATTCTAATGGCTCTTTTAGTATGATTCATATCTTAATTGATCTCTAAGACTACTTTTGTCACGACCTGACCCGGATGCTCGATTTTGACGAGGTGGGAACTAAAAGTCGGACGGTAGGATCAAATCATTTCAATTCATAAGCGATACAATATAAAATTTTCTTAATTCAACTGAAGAGCCACTAATAAATTTTCTCAAATACTCAACATTTGCATAACTCATAAATTACCTGTTTTTAATGTTTCGTCGTCTTCTATAGACGTACTCTTCCCTTTTTTCCATTTCTAAATCTCTGAAGACTTACCTGAAACATTATTTAATGGAATGAGTTTATAAGGTAAACTCAGTGGGTAATTCTTCAACACTTAATATGTATAAAATACAGTACAATTAACATATAATATAAGTCTATTCATTTAACATTGTTATATTTTTCCTTTTCTTTGTTCATTTCTTTTTATTCATTCCTTTATACATATTATTTCATATTCATTTATAACATTTAAAATACTTTAACTTATATTCATTTTCTCATTTAATTAGTACATATTCATGCCATCTCTATATACTTTATGAGCATAATCTAAGTATACTATTTTATATACATTTGAAGTTTTCATAGCTTTATTCATAATAGCCTCAAAATAAACAAAGCAATTATATAAATCTTTCTTTCAATATGAAAATGGAAATGAAATAATGAAATTTCAAATAGCTATAATTACCCACTTTACTTTCCTTTTCCAATATTCGTCCAATTTTGAAAACCATTAACAGTTCACAAGAATATAATAATTTAATTAATATTAAATATCAATTAAATATATCAATAGACATTTGATTTCTTCTACAAAACTTACCTCATAAGATTTCTTTTCTTTACTTGCAAAACCTCCTTCCTCCACCGTCAAACTAAAATCTGTATCACCTGGCTTTTTCCAACCTAAATCAACTCATATTTTATTCACTAAAAGAAACAAGAAATGAAAACTTATGGCCTCAACTAAATTACTTACCTTTCCTTAAGAAGGAATTCCAAAGTTCAATTCCTTCTTCTTCTTTCTCTCCCAATTTCTTTCTCTTCGCATTCGATCTCTTTTATTTCCTTTATGAAAATGTTAATTGTTTAATTTGGAAGGAAAACAAGGAGGTTATACAAAAAGGAAAGAAGAAATTCAATAACATTTTCCCCTTTTTCTCCTTAGTCGTTTTTCTCGTTCTTTGAAATTTCATCCAAATTATCGATTCGTTAGCGATAGGAAAGAAAAGGAATCGTTAAATCTTATCCTCCCACGCAATCGTTCTTTATAAATGGCAGAACGGATCTAAAAATCTTCCTTTGCATGCGTTCAGTCCGCCCAGAAGTTCCGCCCTTTTGTTTCGTTTGCATTAAAAAAAAAAAAACTAACCCCCTTCTGGGGTCGTGACTTTTATTAGGAGGGCTGGCCGGTTCGGTTGAACCGGCCACCCAAACCCATCCGTTACATCTGCCTTCCTATTTGACTTGACA